CACATTATTTGACGTAGAGCGTCAAAATTTCGCAGAATAATATTTATTGTGTCTAGGATGGTTGGTATTGAAAATGAGATATATCGGTCCAAATTTTTGTATAGTCCCCATATAACGGTACATCCCGATATTCAGTATTTGGTGATTTTTGCCACACTTTTTCACGTATTTTTCTGAAAATTGGTATTTTTTTACCATAATGGGTTCTAGCTCCGCATGTATAGGTCCCACGAAACTTTGCATGTATAAGTCCACGCTTTGGTATAGCTCCCATATAACGGTACCTTCCGATATTCGGTATTTTAATGATCACGTTCTGTCGTGGAGAGAATTCCATCATCTCAACCGATTTTATCTGTCCAGATTTTCTGCATAACTATTTAGCTGTCACAATTACGGAGCCTAACCAACCTAAAGGATCGTACAGTTTGGCAATAGAGGAGAAAGTTTCTCGTTTTGTATAGTAGGCTTTTGTGGGGGAGCAACTACCGGCCTCATATGGTCCAAGTCTAAGTACTTATTGACCACTTGGTCGTAGGTTGTCTTGATTTGTGGCTTTAGAGGAAGTGATGCCTCATTTCGAAGAAATTGTCGTAAACAATTATTTCGGGGAAATCGTAAGTCTGTCTGTCCAACTAACTTTGCCTTGAGGGGAAGGCTGACCACGTACCTTCCCTCTGAATACCGACGTGTGGTACATTTATAATTTGCGGCACAAAACTAGTCGGAGGGCGAAAAAATTAGATCTTTAGGAACTTCCTCCAGTTCCCAAAAACAAAGAAGAACCTTGTTAAGGTTTTCTTCGTCAGATAGACTGACCCTGACGAAAAAGATATCCGGGGGAATAGAACCAGTAATTATTCAACCGAAGACCGTATTTTGCTATTAGGGAGCCTAATATATTAGTGTGAATACCCTGTAGCAGAATCTTCGAAAAAAAGATTGAATAAGGATCAGCCAAACGTAGATTTGGCAAACGAGAAACGAAGTCGCTATTGACAGAAAAGGAAGGCTGATTGCCAGAAATGAAAGGTAAAATCAGGGCAGCAGTCTCCATTAAAAGCGAAGCATCCAATGGAGAACTAATACAAATTGAACACAACTTGCGCGACGTCTGATTAATATCAGAAATGGTCGCAACAGTTGTAGTGGAGGCAATACCTAGCATATGCTGTAAGCGATCTGCAAAAAAATAAGTTTCTGAAGCAGGGTCGTTTAATGCTCTGGCAGGTACTTGGCACATTGGTGAACGATGTTCAACATTGCCGCGCCTAATAGGAGATTTCGACTTTGAGCGGTATGAGATACTTGTCAATTAGAAGAGCTTGAAGTTATGCCTGAAGAGGTGGAGGGTTGATTGGACAAAGCTACGTTCCTGACTTCAGAAGTTGTTGCAGTCGAAGACGCGGAAATATCTCTAAGTAATAGAGTGTGATGTCTTTTATTACATTTACCACAATTTTATGAACTACTGCAGTGGTTGATTAAATGTATAGGTGACAATTTAAACAACAATTATGTGGCCTAATTGTGTTAATTCTTTCCGGAAATGAAAGTTTTGGAAATTTTTGGCATGCTCTGATATGGTGCATTTGTCGTGGACATAGAATGATGTTCTATTGAAGGGTGCTCGGGAAGGCCTAGATGACGAAGGTGTATTACGAGGCGTAAAATTAGTTTATCCCTTGTGGCAGCATTCGTGAAATATGAATTAACTTTTTAACTACTGTGAGGTTGTTGTCAATACCTCTAATGTCACGAAAACTGGTAAAAGTTTGGATGCGTTTTGTAAGAAGCTTATAAAAATTTTCCAAGGAAGACAAGGCGGACTTATGTTTAATACTTTGTTCCCAAAGTGTGACACTATTTTTGGGGAGCCTTTGAAGACATATGAACACTCGAATAGGATCCCAGCTTTCATTTGGCTCATCATAATTTAACATGGCCGAAATGTTCCCATTCATATCAATTTGCAATTTGTTTAAACCTAAACTTGCCTCACTGTCTTATACTGGCAGGTCAAATAAAAGCTTAAGTTGGTGGTTCACCAAAATACGTGGATTGTCGGAACGAGATATAGTCCCATTACCTACACTAGCCTGAGGAGACGATGTCACAATTTATGACCGAAGTTCATCTCATTTTATGTTGATGGAAGCTAAAACTTTTAGATATCATCTAAATACGACATCGGTCTTCTTCTGCAAAATAATTAAAACACTTGTTGAAAACGATTTTCACCTTTTCCCATAACGTTCTGACCTCAGCTCTCTGTAATTCTAAAATATAAACATCGAGCTCGTCGCCCCTTGGGAACTGAAGTTGGCATCAAATGTAACCAAAGCATCAGTAGCTCGGATCAACAATTCTAAAGCTGTGAGTGGCATTTTATTTCAAATAAATGAACGCAATTCAGAAAAATGTTAGAAAAATGTCTGTTTACGTCAAAACGTAAACAATTTTCATTTCCTTAAACTGTATCTTAAATATGAATAGCACCATTGTTATTGTACTATCCATTAGAACTGTTATCGAAGTTAAGATAATTATTCTATGTTTTTCCTTTTCCCATTTTCATATTTTCTTTTTATCGGCCTTCTCTAATGGCCATATTGGGAGTCTAATTTCCGCGTCTTATTGAATTCTGTTCTAATTCGACTTCTGAAGCTGTTAGTCAAATCCAGTGAAATCCTAATAAATATAATTCTTAGCTAAGAAAGTTAAAAGCTTTTGTTTCATTTATATTGGATTTGAGTTCTAATACTCTTCTACGTTTCTGCTAGTTATAACGTTCAAGATAAAAACTGGTCTTGGATTTTGTTTGGGCTCCAGAGAGTAAATTGTCTACATCCACAGCTTTCCCAGGCAATTCAGCCGTTTGCCTGAACATTTTGGTCCACGTCGAACCGGATCGACAAGCTGCTCTCCAGAGATTTCAGCTGCAGAAGCTTTTGATTCCTGTAGGTACGTTTCTCTTCTAATAATTTCGTCTTTTCAGTACTAAACAAGAAGTCGAAAGATCCACATAAATTTATATAAATTACCGTGTCGTGTTTTCACACATAACCTGAACAAAAATTATAAACTTAAAGTAATTATATATCTGGAAATTCCTGGCTAACTCCCCAAATATCTAGGAAGAGAGGATCGACAACATAGGAATTGCTGATTTATCAAGAGGAAATTCCTTACCTGTGCCAACTGCCTTAAGACAACAAGTGGATTGTGAGTAAGTTCAATTAATAAAAAAAAAAATATATATATATATATATATATATATATATATCCTGTGTGTGGAAAAACAGCCGTGAGTGAGACTACACAAAACAATTCTCTGTGGGAAATTCTTAAAAAATTAAATAAATTCGTTTAAAGGAAAAGAAGAATTCCAAAAATAATAAAAAGGGGCAAAATTCGTTTAACATATGTGTGAACATAAGTGGTACATTTGCTCCTTAGTGTAACAGATTCGACGCTGTTAAATTAAAAAACGTGTTCTGTAGAACTCTGTTAATAACAGAGTCATAACATTTATCTGCAATAGCCTCACTGTTCACTATTTGTTTATGGGAACATCTCTCTGTTGTACCAGATACATTTCAGGTTTACCCTGAAAACACATTAGAAGCTCTTTCTCCAATATCATCCAGGCACTCATAACACACATGGAAGCGAGCAACCTCCATGCATGATCTCTTCCATATTGTTGTTCACTCGCCTTGCTTGATCCATTCCATTCTCTTTTCAGCTTCATATTTATTCCTATGATTCTAGTACGCATGTCCATTGAGTACATGCTCTTACGTATGGATGCTGAGATCCAAGCTTGCCTTGTTCTCTTATGTTATTTTTCAGCTTACCTTCGACTTCTGTGGTCCGAGTGAGCATAGGCTACTCTTATGCATGTATGTGGTGAGCAGAGCTTGCACACTTCTCTTAACTCAGTTTCAGCATCACTCTCTTCTTTTCTATTGTTCGAATGCGCATGTCCACTGAGAATGCGCTTCTCTCGTGCATGCTGAAACTAAAGCTCAACTCAGCGTTCTCTTCCTCAGCCACATACATCCTATTGCAACCAATGTTTACATTCTCTGCTTTGAGTGCGCATGTCCAATGAGAATGCGCTAGTCAATTGTGGGTGAGATTACAGCTCAATCGTGTTGTTGTATCATTGCCGTGTAACTACTATTGCAGAGTTTGTGTTCTCCTGCTCAATCAGTTGTTACATTTGTTTCTTTTCTCTATTTATTTTTTTACGTGTCATTCTCGCTGTTTGAGAGTGCGACACATACCAACGGAGGATTGATTGCTCAGAGCGGAGCATATCATTCCAAATTCTTCCAATTATTCCAATTCTTCCAAATTCTTTCCACTTACATTGAGTTCAATGAACTCTTGAACGATCAGCTGTTCTTCTACTTTGGCAAAGTTGGATTTTTCTTCGTGATGTGTCTGAAGCACATTTAGAAGTATTTAGATACAAATAGTAATATCTGGATACCAACGCACAGTGGTACCAAATATAACTTTTCTACAATCAAAAAAAAAATATTAAACAAAAAATATATATACTTGCCGCTATTTCCACTTTTACTTGAAAATTCAACCAATTAAATGTAATTAATGAGAATTAATTAATTGAAATTACTGGAGAAAAATATTATTCTACTGAAACTAAAATAAAAAAAAAATTAAAAAAAAAAAAAATTAAAAAAAAAAAATAATAAAAATAAAAAGAAAATAATTAAAACTAATAACAATCAAATACTTTAATTAAATTTTAAAGATATAAATTAATTATTTAATTAGCATTCGAAATCAGTAATAACTACGTCATTTGTATACCTGTGCTACTTTTTCTTCCACATTATATTCAAATCTCAAACCTACGAACAGGTACCGATTCCGGTGGCTAAAGGTTACTGTTCCGAAATCTTGAAAGTTTTTTTATTCATTATATATAATCCGCTTTAGTCTATTTATTTTTCTCGTTTGTAGTCATGTCACTCGACAAATTTATTCGCCTAGCTGACAGCTTGGTAGAATTTGAAGCGGCACTTATTGCCAATGAGTTTCCTTTAACAACGCGTTGTTTGTTGGAAACCCACACTGAAGAGGTGAAATCCACATGGTCACATCTTAAGCAAGCTTATGAGCAATGTTTGGCGGATTTGGAAAATGAAGAAGAAGATGAAGAGGTGTCCGATGATAGAGAAACCAATGAGGTAGCGACAGTGAAGGATAAATATAAGAAATCCTACTCAACTTACTGTCGTTGTATCTCAAAGCTCAATGAAGCTCTGGAACCTCTCTCTCCTTCCTCTTCTAGTCCAAGTTTACGGTCCAGTAACGCTTTTAACTTGCCTCCAATTGAGTTATCCACATTTCATGGAGACTACAAATCCTGGCCAAGCTTTCGTGACATGTTTACGGCCATTTGCATACGCAATTCCAAATTAAGCCCAGTAGAAAAATTGTTCTACCTAAGTCAGAAGACCAAAGGTGAAGCACACGACATTGTTAGGAAAAGTCCTTTGACGAATTCCGGATTCACCTTAGCGTGGAACAATCTATGTTCCAGGTTTGAGAACAAACGAGTGCTGGTTAATGGCCAACTAAAGAATTTATTTTCACTTGTCAATATTCATACAGAAACTGCAATATCCATCAAGAAGCTTCAAAGAGATATCAATTCTTGTATATCCACTCTAAAGCTTTATGATGTTGACGTTGAAAGCTGGAATCCGATTTTCGTGTTCATTTGTTCCAACTGTCTTCCAGATTCTACTTTAACTTTATGGGAACAAACACTCTCGGATAAAACCAGCATTCCAAAATGGTCTGAATTGGATATATTTCTTACCAACCGGTATAGAACATTGGAGGCTGTCTCTGAAATGAGAAGTTCTTCTGATTCCAAGTCCAAAGGGGATAAGTCCAAACCTTTAAATACAAAGAATCAGAAGGACAGGCTTCAGACATACCAAACCAACGTCAACAAAACTAAATGTCGATTGTGTTCCAATGAATTCCACATAATAAGGAAATGTCCTCGGTTCCTAGCATTTAATTACGCACAGAGATTGGCGGAAATAAAGGCCAGCAATCTCTGTCTAAATTGTTTTTCCAGCTCCCATGCTGTCAAAAATTGTAAAAGCAAAAATTCTTGCTTCAAATGTCAAAAACGACATAATACTCTCCTCCATAAGGATGCTGAGCAACAAAATATACCCATTAGTACTTCTCCTTCAGCTTCCAATACACCACTTCAAACGCCTAGGACATTTGCATTCCAAGCTTCTCCAAATTCCTCCATACAGTCCACTAACTCTTCAACCGATGTTATTCAAAATTGTTTCGCGGTTAATTCAAACGGCGTTTTGCTTGGTACCGCTGTAGTAAAAGTTATTCATGCAGGTGTTGGTTATATAGCGAGGGCCCTCATAGATTCAGGTTCAGAAGGTACCTTTATATCTCAAAACCTTGCCAATGCCCTCAGGTTACCTTCCAAACCTACATCCGCTATCATATCAGGCCTTAATAACACGGTTTCAGCTGCTGTTCAAAAAGAATGTCGCTTTATCCTGGGCTCCTATGCGGATAAAGCTTTCGAGATCGATGTTTCAGCCTTAATTGTGCCTCATCTTTCTAATAACCTTCCAACCTGCACAATAGGGTCTGATATTCTCTATTCGCTACCAAAGTTAGACTTAGCTGACCCGTATTTTTACCGAAGCTCCAAGATTGATATCCTAATTGGCGCAGATTTACTTCCTTCTGTCATGTTATCTGGGTGCCAGCGAGCGATTTGCGGATCCTTATTCGCCCAGGAGACCGTATTCGGATGGATCCTCACTGGCCCCATTCCAACCAAAGCTCCAAAGTCCTTCTCTACATGTGTATCGTACTTCTGCGAAATTGCTTTAGAAAAAAGTCTTCTGAAATTTTGGGAGGTGGAGAATATTCCACAACAGCGTGTAATGTCCAAAGCAGATAGACAATGTGAAGAAATTTATCAGAGAACGACAACTAGAGATGGGAATGGAAGGTATACTGTTTCGCTTCCGTTTAAAGACGAATATTCCGATTCACTAACCTTAGGTCAGTCGAGAAAAGGTGCGATGGCCCAATATATTCGGAATGAAAGTCGTCTGCTAAAAAATCCAGAATTGAAAAGAGAATATGATCTTAATATTGAAGAGTACGTCAAACTAGGACATATGATTCCTGTTCTACCTCCTACAATCTCAGAATTTCCCGATCATTACTATTAGCCGCATCATGCTGTTGTGAAGCCAGATAGTTCTACCACTAAAGTCCGTGTGGTTTTCAATGCTTCTTACGCAACATCGAATGGTACAAGTCTAAATGACGTTTTGTATACTGGTCCAGCCTTACAGAACGACTTGACTATTCTCATCCTTAAGTGGCGTTTTTATCGCTATGTTTTCAGTGGTGATATAGAGAAAATGTATCGCCAAATCCTTGTGTCTCCTTCTCACACCCACTTTCAGAGAATCCTGTTCCGCCAGAATCCAACTGAACCAATAAAGGATTACGAGTTGAAAACTGTAACCTTTGGTGTTAACTGTGCACCGTATCTTGCGATACGTACGATGATTCAACTAGCCAATGACGTCCATGATTCATATCCATTAGCTAGTCATGTTTTGAAGAATTGCATGTATGTGGATGATGCCCTTGCAGGGGCACATGACATACACACAGCAATTTCAACCGTACGTGAATTAATCCTATCTCTGAAGTCCGCAGGATTCAACATGCGAAAATGGACCTCCAATTCAACAACAATTCTCTCGGACTTGTCACCCGATGATCTTCTTAATGATGGCTTTTTAGACTTTAACGCACATTGTGCAGCTAAAATGTTAGGCATTCGTTGGAATGCGTATTCTGATCAGTTTTATTTCTCCTCCATTGCATTTTCTCCCCATACTTATACCAAACGAGAGGTTCTTTCCCAAATATCAAAACTATTTGATCCTGCTGGCTGGATTTCGCCGGTCATTGTATTAGCCAAGATAATTATGCAAAAAATATGGCTAGATAAAGTGGGTTGGGATGAAGAGATATCACCAGAATCAATTGACTTATGGAAAGCATTTCAGTCTTCATTTTCTTCCATCAATGAGATTCGTGTTCCACGTTGGTTTAACTTTGTCCCAGACCATGAAATTGAATTCCACGGGTTTTCGGATGCATCAGAAAGGGCTTATGCCGCAGTACTATACATTCGAATTGTTTCTCCAACTACTGTGTACACCCACTTAGTGGCTTCCAAAACGAAAGTAGCACCGATTAAGTCCCTATCTATTCCTAGACTGGAATTATGTGCAGCTACTCTCCTTGCTGAGCTAATTGACAATTTAGTGCCTCAATTCGACGTTCACCGTCACTCATTACATTGCTGGACGGACTCCACCATTGTGATTTCATGGTTAGCAAAACAACCATGTCATTGGAATACTTTTGTAGCAAATCGAATTTCTAAAATCATCCAAACTGTCGATCCACCAAAATGGCACCACGTCAGTTCAGAGGACAACCCCGCCGATCTCGCGAGTAGAGGTGTCTATCCACAGGATCTAATCCAAAATGATCTTTGGTGGAGAGGTCCTGCATGGTTATCTGAATTTGACACTCCTTGGGAAAATTACTCTAATCAAGATGTCCAACCAACTGAATTAGAGAAGAAGTCGGTAAAGACACATTTTGCATATTTCGAAAACTTCCACGATTACTTAACGAATTTTTCTTCCTACCCAAGAGCTCTAAGGATTATGGCGTATGTATATCGTTTTATAAATGGTACTCATCCACGATATAAGACCAATAATAGACGTTATGGTAACGTCATAGAAGCTCAAGAAATCATCCATGTTCGCTCAAAGCTGATATCCATATACCAAAGGCTATTTTACCCAAATGAGTACATGGCGCTGAGTATCCAAAGACCGATTCCTTCTTCTAGTAAACTATTGAGTTTGAATCCCTTCTTAGATTCCGAAGGTCTAATGCGAATTTGCGGTCGACTTGAAGTATGTCCAGAGTTATCCTACAACGAGAGACATCCTATAATTGTTCCATACAACTGTCAATATTCCAAACTATTAGTCCAATATATCCATTTGATAAGTCTACACGGGGGCAATCAACTTGTCCTCCGATTGGTCCGTACACAATACTGGATACCAAAGGTTCAAAATCTTATAAAATCCATTATACGAAATTGCAAGATCTGTGTCATATATAAGAAAAGATGCCAAAAGCAGTTGATGGCTGCATTGCCTCCAGAAAGATGTGAAATATCCCGACCATTCACACATACCGGTTTGGATTTTGCAGGACCTTTTGATATCAAGAGCTATACTGGAAGATATTGTCGGATTACCAAAGGATATGTGTGTGTGTTTGTCTGTTTTTCCACAAAGGCAATTCACCTTGAAGCAACATCCGACTTATCCACATCCAATTTTCTGGCAGCTTTTAACCGTTTTGTTTCCCGTCGTGGCTGTCCACTCCATTTGCACTCTGACAACTGAACTACGTTTGTCGGAGCTTCCAAGAGGATCGCAAAAGATTTTATCGATACCTCGAATCAAGCTCTAATGTCTAATTACGCCCACCAAAATTTGACATGGCATTTCATACCTCCCGGAGCTCCTCATATGGGTGGACTCTGGGAAGCCGGCGTAAAAAGTTTCAAACAACATTTCCGCAAAGTTGCTGGCAATACAAAATACACATACGAAGAATTTCAAACCTTACTGACTAAAATTGAGGCGTGTCTAAACTCTAGACCAATATCCCCATCTTCTCAAAGCCCATCAGATTTCACCGCATTGACTCCTGGACACTTTTTAATCGGTTCTCCTATACTATCTCCCTTAGAACCAGAAATTTCCCAGTCATCCATTTCTATTCAAAATCGCTGGCAACGACTCCGATCAATGTATCAACATTTTTGTAGCAGATGGAAGACTGAATATCTGAAGGAACTTCATAAAAGGACTAAATGGAAAAGTCCAGAACGCGATGTCGAAGAAAATATGCTGGTGGTTATTCAGGAAGAAAATCTCCCTCCGACCTGTTGGCGTTTGGGCAGAGTGATTCGTGTCTATCATGGCAATGATCAGAAAGTGCGCGTTGCTGACATTCTCACTCAGAAGGGAAGAATCACCCGGCCAATTACAAAGCTGGTCATCTTACCAGATAACCAGTCTTAGACTTTATCCTCATACAAAGCCTGAGACAAATAATTTTTCCATTTTCTATTTTAGTTCAATTCAATTCCATTCTTCTTTTTTTTAATTCATTCCTTTTTTTCAGTTCTTTATTTACAATATTACAATGAAGGGTCCTTCGTCTTCTCGTTATTCGGAATTTGCCTGCAGGTTGTGCCGCAAAAAACATCCTCTGAAATCGTGCTGGAAATTTCGTGCCATGAACTCCGCAGAAAGGTTAAATGCGGTCAAGAAATATGGGTACTGTATGAACTGCCTGGCGCATACCCATTCACAGGGCACCTGTTTTACCACCACAGGATGTGGATATTGCCACAAAAAGCACCACTCCTTGTTACATCAACACCCAAGGTTACAAAAGGCCAAATCATCATCGACGAAAAATACCAATAAGATGGTTACCCCTCTTGATATCACCACCCCCAAGGACTCTTCAGATACTACCGGCTCAATACCGAGGTCAACATCGACATCCAGTATTACCTCTTTGTCGGCACTTCTTAGGCAGAATGCCACCCCTCTTCTTCCTACTGCAGTCGTCAAAATCAACGGAGCAAATAGCACACAGTTGGCAAGGTGTTTATTGGATTCCGCGGCCCCCATGAGCTGCATTTCCAAACGCTTCGTAGATAAGTTGGGGTTGTCTACGCTCGAGTTGGAAGATGAAGTTATGTGCCCCGTCACCTTGACATCCTGCGTCGATTCCAAGACAAAGATAGAGGCTATATTGCGAATGAGGAACAGGATTGGAATTACAACTCCTAAGCAATCGCTGCCCGAGTCTTCAAAACTCAGTTTCAAAAACTTCGTCCTAGCAGATAGCAAATTCTATAAGGCAGCTTCTGTTGATATCGTCATTGGTGTTGACATATATTCCAAAATTATTGTCGACGGCATCTTTATTCGCCATGGACTTCCTACAGCTCAAAATACCCTTTTCGGATTAGTGCTATATGGAACATTTTCAAATTAATACAAATAATTGTACTCTCTTCCACCACTTTTATTCTGAATTTACGATACCTTTTTTTAAAATACTAATATGCCAATTGAAATCGCTTGAAGACATATTGTATTATGATATAATAAGTTATGCATTAAGTCATTTAGTCATATGAATTTAGTCCTAAATGAATTGATTATATAATTGTCATGTCCCCTTGCCATGGGGGGCGGAATGTTTACGTCAAAACGTAAACAATTTTCATTTCCTTAAACTGTATCTTAAATATGAATAGCACCATTGTTATTGTACTATCCATTAGAACTGTTATCGAAGTTAAGATAATTATTCTATGTTTTTCCTTTTCCCATTTTCATATTTTCTTTTTATCGGCCTTCTCTAATGGCCATATTGGGAGTCTAATTTCCGCGTCTTATTGAATTCTGTTCTAATTCGACTTCTGAAGCTGTTAGTCAAATCCAGTGAAATCCTAATAAATATAATTCTTAGCTAAGAAAGTTAAAAGCTTTTGTTTCATTTATATTGGATTTGAGTTCTAATACTCTTCTACGTTTCTGCTAGTTATAACGTTCAAGATAAAAACTGGTCTTGGATTTTGTTTGGGCTCCAGAGAGTAAATTGTCTACATCCACAGCTTTCCCAGGCAATTCAGCCGTTTGCCTGAACAATGTCTTAAGGTTTCGTAGAAAATTGTATTTTGTTTAAAAAAACTGCAGGAACAGCAGCAAAAAACCAAGAATTCTCAAAAAAAAAAAAAAAAATTAATAAATAAATAAATAAGTAAACAATTTGTGTTATGAAAATCTTAAAAAATGTACCAAAAATGCAGTAGAAATATAAAAATGTAGAAAGTTTTGCACGAAATGCTTTAATTTCTAGAAATTGACACGCAATGTCGAATAATTTGTGTGAAAAACCAAAAAGTTAAAGTTTGTAACAAAAATATTTATAAAAAGTACATTAAAGCACGTAATGATTTTATAAATAATACACTGAATTTAAATTAGTCATTGTCTAATCGTAATAAAGTATCGTAGACACTCCAAAAATATGGAGGTTTAACGTGATTAAACCACAAAACTATAAAAATTTTAAGAAAAGAATTAAATGTTAACACTTTTTTTTTCAAATTTCGTAAATGTTTACATTGCATCGTAGAATACCTGCAAACTATGGCAATGTATCAATAATAACAATTGCCAACGAAAAAATATCAAAAATTTTTAATAAAAATCAAAAATTCGAAAAATATTAAAAATGTCAATTAAACCGACTGCAGGGTTCACAGACTGTAAGAAGCACGTTATCAATCGACAGCGGACAACAATAAATTAAATTCAGAAATGTTTTATAAAAAATTTAAGTTTTTGTATGAATATATAATATATTATATAAAAACAATAATTTTTTAATATATATAGACCGAATATAGGGTACACATCCTATCCGACTCGATTAGGCCAATGTTTCCGTTGCAAAATGAAAGTGAAGAAACTAACACACAAGGAATTAGAAATTTTCAAATGCAGTCGTGAACTGATATTTTATTCATGATTGTTTGTAAAACAATTAAATTACCTTTTTTTACAGAATGTATGGGTTTGATGTTTTCTGGTCGTAAACCAATGAGCGAGTAATCTTACGGAATTAAAAGAAAAAAAAAACTAAACTGCTGCAAAGCGGGGCTAAAAAACTACTCGTCACGTTTTGTTACTACATTTGTCTTTGTCCACGATGTAAACAAAGATGTGTAAATGAGTAGTGGACATAACGTAACGAAGGGATGAAAGGAGCAGTGGGGAAATTTTAAATTAATTCAAACGACTTCTTTTTGGTTTGAAGATAACTTGTCTGTTCATCTGTCTGTTGGAATCACGATACAGCCCACATTATTTGACGTATATCGTCAAAATTTCGCAGAATAATATTTATTGTGTCTAAGATAATTGGTATTGAAAATGAGATATATCGGTCCAAATTTTTGTATAGTCCCCATATAACGGTACATCCCGATATTCAGTATTTGGTGATTTCTGCCACACTTTTTCACGTATTTTTCTGAAAATTGGTATTTTTTTGCCATAATGGGTTCTAGCTCCGCATGCATAGGTCCCACGAAACTTTGCATGTATAGGTTCACGCTTTGGTATAGCCCCCATATAACGGTACCTTCCCATATTCGGTATTTTAATGATTTTGGGGGCTATATCAAAGCGTGGACCTATACACAAAATTTTGCCAATCACGTTCTGTCGTGGAGAGAATTCCATCATCTCAACCGATTTTATCTGTCCAGATTTTCTGCATAACTATTTTAGCTGTCACAATTACGGAGCCTAACCAACCTAAAGGACGTACAGTTTGGCAATAGAGGAGAAAGTTTCTCGTTTTGTATAGTAGGCTTTTGTGGGGGAGCAACTACCGGCCTCATATGGTCCAAGTCTAAGTACTTATTGACCACTTGGTCGTAGGTTGTCTTGATTTGAGGCTTAAGAGGAAGAGTTGCCTCATTTCGAAGAAATTGTCGTAAACAATTATTTCGGGGAAATCGTAAGTCTGTCGTGTGAATTCCCTGTAGCAGAATCTTCGAATAAAGATCTGCTCCCAACAAAAAGTCAACAGGGCGACTGTTGAACAAATTTGGATCAGCCAAACGTAGACTTGGCAAACGAGAAACGAAGTCACTATTGACAGAAAAGGAAGACAGTTTCCATTAAAAGCGAAGCATCCAATGGAGAACTTATACAGATTGAACACAACTTGCGCGACGTCTGATTAATATCAGAAATGGTCGAAACAGTTGTAGTAGAGGCGATGCCTAGCATATGCTGTAAGCGATCTGCAAAAAAAATAAGTTTCTGAAGCAGGGTCATTTAATGCTCTGGCAGGTACTTGGCACCTTGGTGAACGATGTTCAACATTGCCGTGCCTAATAGGACGTTTCGACTTTGAGAGGTATGAGATACTTGTCAATTAGAAGAGCTTGAAGAATTAGAAGAGCCTGAATTGAATTACGAGGCGTAAAATTAGTTTATCCCTTGTGGCAGCATTCGTGAAATATGAATTAACTTTTTTACTACTGTGAGGTTGTTGTCAATACCTCTAATGTCACGAAAACTGGTAAAAGTTTGGATGCGTTCTGTAAGAAGCTTATAAAAATTTTCCAAGGAAGACAAGGCGGACTTATGTTTAATACTTTGTTCCCTAAGTGTGACACTATTTTTGGGGAGCCTTTGAAGACGTATGAACACTCGAATAGGATCCCAGCTTTCATTTGGCTCATCATAATTTAACATGGCCGAAATGTTCCCATTCATATCAA